TATATATTTTCTTTATATTATATAACTATATTCATATCGATTTACTTTTTTATGAGACTACACTTAATGTTTACGTGGGTTTTGTCAACTCGACATGTCATTCGCATAACTAACTAGTTTCACCTAACAAAAACCCTGACGTCACTGTTTCAAAAGCTGCTAATAATATCTAAGGCCCTTTGTGATAGTGACGTCATAAAACGCTTAGTTACAGACGAATGACAAGAGCCACAGACGTCTGATTGGAAATTGGAATAGATTGAATCGATGCTTGTATTGTCCCCAATACACATGAAAAAAAGTGTCCCCCCTTTGGCTCCGCCACTGACTGGAAGCATACCTGATGTTGGCACAAGTCCATGTTTTGGAGGGGAAGCTACCAGGGGTGTGATCCCCACACGCTATAGTTCTGTTAAATACCTCCAGACTATCCGGGAATGACTCATCTGAAAATTAAGTTTCCTAGTTTTAGAACTAGTTTTCAGAAATCCAACAAAATAATTCTTTACGTGCTACTTTTCCGGACCTTTAAGAAGCATGACTGTGCCTTATTTCGTTAGTTTATTATATAATATAAACGAGTAGAAAGTAACAATCCAAAAGTAGGACATATTTCAGCTTCGTTTTTGTGGTACATATAGCAGTGTCGATCAGTATGAAAAGAAACGTAACATTTTCACTTAGCAAACTACTGAGACACAACACTGAGCTTAAAAAGATGAAGTGATGAAAATATAGGGCCGAAAGGATGAAATTCTCAGTATTCTAAAACTCTTAAACACATATTTGCGAATACACACGATGAGACTATATATAACCCCAAAACAAAGTTCAAAACCTGTTCGGCGAATGCATCGGGTGATATTTTCAGTAGGCTAAATTTATTTCACACATAATTCATGATTACACGGCGAGACTACAACCAATACAGCGTATAGTGTAAATAGTTAATATAAAGCGACGAGTAGACGAGAACAAAGTCGATTTAATCTCACCTTTATAACGCTTAGTCGATTCCTTCCCACATGCTGAATATACCAGGGCAATAACAACTATCACTAGGGCATATATCACATTTCTCTTCATTGTATCCAGTCGAGAGCTTTCTCTTTATCCATTTTAACCGTCGATTCGTTATTCATTTTCCATATTTTCGTTTCGTCAATCTAGTATTCCCACTCAATAA